GGTTAGAGCACTCGCTTTGCAAGCAAGAGACCTGAGTTAAATTCCAGGCAGAGGGCGAAACCTTGGGCAAGTTTCCTTACTCCACACAGAGCCTAATAATAATCCCTCCAAAACAAAACAATAATAAATTGGTCATTTTCAATCCACGACTGTTTGTGGGATATTGCTGTGCGCAATTGGCTGCCGCTTTTGCCCACAAATATACAGTCAATTCACTTTACAGTCTATTCTGTGAAGCGCTTTGGGACGTCTAGAAGGCGTGAAAAGCGCTATATCAAATGCAAGGATTATTATTATTATTACAGGATCTCCATTCCCCGCTGCCACTGAGTGACTCCTCTCCCTCCCTCCGCTCCCCCCCAACCTTGAAAAGTGCATGCGTGTAGATAAGGAAGGAGGAAAAGAACATATTTGGGTGCAATATAATCTGAGCCAGCCTCACACAGAGAACTGCTATCTCCATGAGCTGCCACAAGGTATCCATTAAACACTGTATATCAATGACCAACTGGTGACTATCCTCGGTGGGGTGGGGGGGGAAGGGGGGTAAATGGGGACTCCTTGGAGCTGAGATGGTGAAAAATTTGACCTTTTAAATGCCAGGTTTGGGACCAGAACAATTTCTAATATTGGGAGAATTGTTTATCTTTAGCTGCCACCTTTGTTTTGAATTGTTAACCAATTTTGAATGCCGGCTGCTGAAATTGGTTTAAAAATTACTTTAAGGCCTGCATCTGCCAAAGAAGTCCTAAACATATGATTTCTGTGGCCCGACGAAAGCTTCCTGATTGCTTGTGATCGGGGACATTTTTCATTAAAGCCGCAGAGGCTGTCCAATGTGAACAAAATATTCAGGGCAAATAAGAGCATTTGCTGTAGCCCTGGAGTGGATCACAACAATGAAACAAAATAAAAAATAAACTACTATTTTGCTTTTAAACCATAGCCGGCCATCCAGTATTGGAAAGAGAAATAGATCAATGTTTCCAGCACGATCCTTTGGAGTGTGTTCTTATCAAAGAATGTGCTTGAAATGTGAGGCTCTTATTTTTGTTGGCTTTCACTGTGGTTTTCCAGCATTTGTGCTTTTGCTTTTAATGATACAGGCATTGTCTAACAAACCAGGATCAGGGCTGTAATTTGGTCAGGATAACTTTGGGGGAAAATTACGGATTACGGTCAAAATATCAAATATCACGGAGAGCTGTAGGTCCTAAACAAAGGTATATTGGCCCGTGAAACTGGTGTAATATATTTTTGTCGTTCACAAGCCATTCCCAGTTAGCCACTCGGTCTCATTCTACATATATGCATGTACATTATATGAACATACAATTCAAATTTACATTTATATAGCAGACTTCATGTCAGTAGGATGTGCTGTGTACATTTATTCTCTTCACCTCTCTCCTATCCACAAAAGTAGCTATAGTGCAGCCTCCAGGCATTGTTTACAACAAGTCAGCTTTACAAATGACATTCACACTGACTGGTATAAATAAGTAAATAATCCTTGCAGTTTGTAAAATGCCTTTCATGTCAGGAGGGCATGAAAACACTCAAAGCACTTCACATGATTTTATTGTACAGTGGAGTGACTGTACATTGTAGGCAAAATAATAGTTAATTTGCATTCAAAGAATCTCCCACAAATTTTATGTGGAAAATGGCCAATTTTATCTGGGCAAGATTTGCCTGCCCACTCAGGAGCTAGCTGTGACCAATCCAAGATGTGGATTGGGACATGTGGAGTCAGGTAAATAAAAAAAAGGTTTTATAATTGGCTTCCCTCCCTTCTCCCCCTGCAAGGAAAAAATCTTGACACCTCTTATTCCTTGCATTATCAGCAATTTGTGATGTAGCTGATAGGACTTTGCACCCTAAAGTTATCACTTGATATGTGGACGCAGAAGGTAATGTATAGGCGCTGCTGACTGAAGCAAAAGTGGCATGCTTTATTTGCCAAATGAGTGTTACAGAATCTCTGCTCTGGTGGAACAGGGGCATTGGGGCAGCCATGGAACCAAAACAATAATTTGCATCAAATTCAAAATGTTATCACAGTCTGGTGACAATAGGCATTTGATATACTCAGTTCTACAGTGTATTCCATTTACAAGCAGAGATGGATTTAAACTGCGCAATTCACCCTCCCCCTCCAAATCCACTGGACAAATCTTTTGAGAGCAGTATTTTTTGTATCTTTAATCAGGCTTAGTTTATAAAAGCTTTAAACATCAAATCTCTGCACATTCCTTGCAGATTTCAGGCTTCAAATGAAATTTGAGCATCAATGTCCAAGCAGCTGTCAGCTTCTGAACTGCAGTACAAACTGGTGTTTGTAGGATTCATTGATTTAGGTCTCTAAATGAACTATGATGAACAGTGGGAAGAACATCCTGGAGATAATGGGGTGACAAATATGGTGTTTCAAAATAGATTTTATGTGATAATTATCACATTGAATCTGTTACAAAACCATGCATTTTTCATCCCAATGCATCTAGGTTGAGTTATAATTGACAGTTTAGATAAGACTTTTTACTTCCTCCTCATGTCATATGTACATCAGAACAGTAACACCCAATGAATTTAATATTTTAACTCTTTCTTCTCTTGCCTTTCCAATTTGTTTTTCTGTTTGTTTCTGAGGCTTTCTCTCTCTTCCACTCCCCCCCACCACCCACTCCTCTCAAAGTACATCATTCTCGATGCGTATATCTCTCGTTTGTCCTTCCCTGCATCTTTGTTGCTTGGACAGGACAGAGCAGTTTGTGAGAATATATATACAGAATGGGGCAATATAAGTTTGAAATTGACAGGCTTTGGTACTTTGTCACATTATCCCTACATTAACCCCCTCTGTTTCTGTAGTTTCTATTTTGCATTCCCTTTATCAGCAATGTCTGTAGTTAATCTAGCTGCCATAGAGAACTAAATATTGTAGTGAAACAATCAGTTGTATAGTTTGAATGAAACTAAAATCTAGGACTAAATTTCTTTTTAATGTTTTTGTGTATTTCTTCAGTTCCATAATGTATTGTCCATTGTTAGAAATGCTGCACGTAAACATTTTCTTTTGAATCATGTAGGGATGATTGACATACAGAAATGTATGAAATTGTATTTGCCTGCTGCATGTCTGTTATGTTTGATTCTACATTGAGAACTGGGAAATGTAAGGATACATACAGTAACAAATTGCACTAGCAGAAATCCTGAAGGCGCATTAACTGGATATATCAGGGTATTATCCGCCAAAACATCACACTGAAGAATAACCACTTCATTATTTAAGAACTATCCGTATGGCAAAAGTATTCCCTGAGCCTGGAAACAAATTTGCTTGTCGTTTTTTTTCATCCGGTGGAAATGCAAATGTTTTCTTGGAAAGTAGGGCAACGCGGCTAGTAATAGGCCTGTTAATGGAGCCTCGCTAAGCTAACTTCATGACGTGTCTGTCGCATGTTAATATCAATTTAATCATATCAAATGTGTCAGAAGGAACAAATCCTTGGAGAATTGTGATAACAATATCAATATCACAAGATTGAAATTTTTGTTTTCCTACTTTCTTTTAATAATAATAATAATAATCCTTGCATTTGATATAGCGCTTTTCACGTCAGGAGGACGTCCCAAAGCGCTTCACAGAACACACTGTAAAGTGAATTGACTGTATATTTGTGGGCGAACGCGGCAGCCAATTGCGCACAGCAACGTCCCACAAACAGTCGTAGATTGAAAATGACCAATTTTATTATTGTTTTTGGTTTTTTGGAGGGATTATTATTAGGCGTGTGGAGTAAGGAAACTTGCCCAAGGTTTCATCCTGCCTGGAATTGAAATCAGGTCTCTCACTTGCAAAGTCAGTGCTCTAACCACTGAGCTGCAGGACTCCAATAAGAATACTGTAGGGTGATGTTATCATTATCACATTATCAATAAATGCAGCCAATGAAGTTAGTCGATAACTAAAGACTGACTGTAGCTTTTCAGGTTTTGTTTTTGATAGGTAGGATGCCCCCACCTCCCGAAAGCCAAAACTCCCTAAACTACAATCAGCCTTTAGTTGTTGACCCAGAAAAACGTATAACTCAACAATGCTTACACAATGTCCAGTGAGACTAAATAGTTGTCCGTATTGTAGACTACACACCACCAATAAACTTAAGGCTAAAAATTACAATTAATAATTTAGTAATATTAATATGTAATATTAATAAGTGCACCTTGTGGCATGAACAAATAGAATCTGCCACTGTATATCTGCTCCTGGGTGATAGCTTGTGTTGGAAAATACACCACAATTTCAGCTTCAGCAACACATGAGCTGTACACTGAAGCTGGGATTTGAGAATCAGTCAGCTTGTGCCAGCCTGTCCTCATTTCCCGCTAGACTACACATGCAAAGGATTGCTATTCAATTATACTTTCAAAGTACTGAAGATGATGACTTCTTTGATAAAGCAGCTGGTCGGATTTCTCTGTTAATACCTAAGGCTGGCTACAGATAGGATGAAGTATAACACAAAGCATGTGTTATGGTGGTCTCCTCAGTCCAGTGGAGGATTGACCAGTGCTTCACACAATTAGATGCAGTCGGAAGTCCACTTCATTATGTGATGTAGATAAGCCCAGTAATCCCACCAGGAGCTCTGAAGCCATGGCCACAGTGTGACAGATCTTCCACCCCACCCCCACATAAGGATTTTCAAAGTGTGTCTGTGATGGTATGACCTCTGACACAGTGGGCATTTTTGAGAAGGCTGCTCCTGATCCAGGAACTTTAACTCGCCCCCCGCTGCTCCCTCCCCCCAAAAAAACCTGTGTGCTAACAGTAACCCAAACATTTTTAAATTGATTTGTAAAAGATTGGAATTCTATTTTCATTGCACGTTTGATTTTCCAATTAGAATCACAATGAAGAAACGGAACTGTGACAGCTGAGAGTCTGAAGGTTAAAAGTGTAACTTGTACCTTGTCTCTTCTTCAAACAGCAAAGTCTGGAGACGAACCTGGCCAACCTAATTAAGAGGAATAATGAGCTGGAAACACTAATGGGCCGATTAATCCAGACCTGCCAGCATGTCGAGGTGAGTGTTCGCTGGATAAATGTCATCCCCATTGACACACAAAAAAGCAAGCCTCAAGGATTCAGTGCTACTCTCCACTCAGCACCAGAATAACAGCTGGATTATTTAGAAGTGCCAGAAAAGTACATTTTAAAGCCATTTTGATCTTGGGTCATATAATGCTGTGCTTGATTTTGTGGTGTTGAATCATATCAGGTTTTACTGAATTTCTCATATCGTGCACAGAAATTGGTATATTTTGAAGTGTTAAGTTTAAGTTTCAATTTTATTTTTTTTTGGTGGGGAGGGAGAGGTGGGAAGGGTCAGCCAGGTTTCTTGACATGCAGAAACCCATCACCATGCTTAATGGTCTCCAAACCAAACTATTGAGAGTTGCACATTAATTTCAAGTTGTTTTGTGATCATTGTTTTCTGGTGTCACCTGCTATATCCATTTCAATGTTCACCATGTTTTGTTTAATCAAAAGAGTTTGTGCAATAGGATATTGGAATCTAATATCTAGCAATTCTTACCAGTAACTGGCATTGCACCATGTGGACATGTGGAGACTCCAGTAAAGGAAGTAGATTATATTATGGTTTACATGGATCGATATGATTCACTTCTGCTTACCACTGTTAATACAATAATGAATTTGGCTTATTAGCTTCCTGTTCTAAAGTAAAATGGCCAACGTGTATATCATTAGGGTCACTATCAATATCATTTCCTGTTTTGCATACGTGTAGCAAACTAAGTTATGGTGGTGGTGACTTGATGAGTCAGAATTTGGTGAATGTTTCTTTTGCTGCGGGAACCAGCCAGCATGCAGTTAACCATGGACAGTCAAACCCACTATTGGGCAGGGATCCACTGTATATCCAGTGGTTAGGAAGTGGAGTAGGCTTATAAAAAGATTGGAACAGATTAAAAGTGGCCCACACTCACTGCTTAAGTGGACTCTCCAGCTGCTCTCTGAGAAAATTGTCTGCAGTAATATGGACCATGTGCTGAGAAAACACTTACATATCAGAACTTGCTGGCTACATTGGTTATATAAAAAAAGAGAGGCTCAACTGCCCGCTGCTTCAGTCGGCATTAATTCACTGCCTCCAAGCAAATTTGAAACCCAAACTTAACCGCCCTTCTCCCTCCATCTATCTTTCTCTCAATGACTGTCTTCCTCACATTAACCCTGTCTCCCTGTCTACCTTTCACTCTCAGACTAATTCTGTCTACCTCTCAGCCTCCAGCACAGGAAGGCATCTGGGAATTACAACAACAATAACAAAATTACATTTGTAAAGCTCCTTTCACGTCAGGAGGACGTCCCAAGGCACTGGACAGTCAGAGTTTCGGACCCAAGCTGGGAGGTCGGGATTGGGGAGGTTGGAGGGTGGGGGATGGGGGAAGCAGGGAGATCAAAAGCACGGTCAAAGAGGAGCGTCTTGAAGGAGGCAAAGGAGGGTGCGAGGCTGAGGGACTGCAGGATGGAGTTCCTAGGGTGAGGGCAGAGTGGCAGAAGGTCTGTCTGCAGAAGGAAGCATGTGAAGCTGTAAGGGTACAGGTTCGCAATTCTCCTGTGTTAAAAGTGAAGCTGTGCTCAAGTGAGAGCTTAATAACAAGGTTTCTTTGCACTCTGACACATTATAATAACAATAATAAAAATAATAACATTTCAGTCAAGTTGCTTAATTTTCTCAGTGCTTTTAATTTTCACTTCCCTTCTGAAAGAGAAAGACCTTAATATAGGAGCAGTTCAGCTCAGACTCCATCCAGCAACTCATGACAAAATAGCAGGGACAGGCAGGAACACTTGTAGACTATGATTCCGACCACTCTGCCTCCGTTCCTAGAGCAGCGCTGACTGAAACAAGGAGGATACCAATAGAGGGGGAAAAGAAGGAAATAGGAAAAATGCTGTTATTAATACCAGATGTAAATTTGATTCCTAAACCACATCCTGAAACAAAATGATACAATGACCTGACTCCAGCTCTTTCAAATACAGATAACTTTAGGAGATTGTGTTCTGATCATCACAAAACTGTAGTTTACGCCAGGTATTCTGGCTGAGGTTTTGGTCATCTTTCCCCTCCCCATCCTCAGCTTGGGTGCCAAACCATTATTGTTAACCGCCTTGGGATGTCCTCCCGATGTGAAAGGTGCTACATAAATGTAAATTTGCAATTTGTATTCATTATGAGTTCTGTTTAATTACGGAGTGTGCATATTTTGTGCAAATTGTTCAGGCTCAGTTGGCAGCCCTCTCGCCTCTGAATCGGAAAGTTGTGGGTTCAAACTCCACTTTGGAATTTTAAACTCACAGTCCAGGGTGGCGTTTCAATCCAGTGCCTGGGGCTGCGCTGCATTGTCAGGGCTGCTGTCTTTTGGATGAGATGTTAAACCAAGGTCCTAGCCGCCAGTTCAGACGAACATTAAAGATCACAATAGCATTGTTCGAAAGAGAAGGGAATTTTTTCTAGTGTACTGGCCAACAATACTCCAGAAAAATTTGATTAATTTCATAGCTGTCTGTGGGAGACTGCTGTATGCAAATGGCTGTGCATTTGCCTAAAAAAACAGTTATTATACAGTAAATCCTGCAAAGCACTTTGAGACCTGATAAGGTCTACATCAAATTCAAGAATTAATAATATTATTGTTTCAAAATACAATTAGTTTTAATTATATGCAGAGGATCCAGTGGAAGAAGCATGCCTTGATGCATTAATATCTACAACAACAACAAGATTACATTTATAGATATATTAATATCTATTAATAAAGAAACATTTATTTTGCAAAATATACTGAAAACCTCAGGGCATGCAAATATTCCTTGCAGTGAAAACATTCCCCCTGTTTCAATATGATGACATGAAACATTTGGGAGTTTAGTTGAATGATTGCAATTTGTGATACGAGTCTATTGTGGATATACCACCCACCGCTATGGTTTTAGTTCAGTTGCTTATAATTCTTTCATGCCGTCAGGGCTCAGCATTCAATTTCATTGACTGCTTGAAATGGGACTGAAGCTGTTTCTTTTTGGAGCTTGCTAATTTTTGTTCAATACTGTCCATGATTTATCATTTAGGAACAATTAGTGAGGCATTGTGGTGAGGCACGAGAGTAAGGAACTGCAGATAAGACTGCGCAGCAATAAAGACACAAAATCCTAAAAGTGCTGGAGTTTCGATTATCCATCATATATCACTTATAAGGAACCTATTTTAAGGCACAATTTCTGGGGTCTTTAAAATTTCTACCATTTTGTAATAGGAAGCAATCAAGAGCAGCTGCTGGTTAGTGTCTCCGCACCCTGACGCTACCCATTATATGACTACTAACATCACTATGCATGTGCGCAGAAAGTCTACGGATGCCACCTGGGTGACAATCCATCTCTGGAATTTCTATGTGTAGGTGGGATGCATGGAATTCAGTTTCGTTTAGATTCTCTTAAGCCTGGTGATGGGTTTCCGCACATGTCAGACACCGACTGGTCTGATCGTCTAATTCTTAAATTCTTAAATACAGGTTTGAATTTGAAGCTGTTTTTCTGTACGTTTCTTTTAAGAACTACAGAAAACCGGCTTCAAAGTTAAGACTGAATGCAACAATTTGCTAAAATTCTGAACGCTCTGAAATGCAAAGAAAATGAGAGTATATCTGGACCCAGGTGGAATTTCTCCCCCACTGTTTGTAGGAATCACTCGCTCCACAGCTGGCCTCACAGACATTTCTACCACAAAATTGGCTTCTTAATACACATGAACAGCATGACCATCTCCTAATTGGCTGCGACAATTTTACTGCTTTCACACTGACCATCGGGATTGCCGGGTGGCTCGTCCAATTCGTCAGCATGACTTCAGGCAGATATTGTTTGACTAGCTTCAAACTCATTTTTCCCCCCCAAATCGAATGCCACAGCCCTGGATTACCGAGTACCTCCAGCGGATGTCAGAATTAACACCAGCTGACAAAGAGCTTTGATTCACAATTACTTAAAGGCGTGGAGAATTTGTTGTGAATTATGGGTACATTATTACCACAGGGACAAATGTGTCAAAATGAACCATAGAGGATGATTCTCCACCTCGGGCCCTTGGAGAATTCTGTTAACTGCAGAGAGGAAGAACTGGATTGTTCTTCATTGTGTTATTTTTGGACCAGAAGATGAGTATCAATGCCAGTGCTTCAGAATCTACTCCCATGAAACTGCACAGAGCAACATATTTCTCTGTTGTTGGGATAGGGGCATGGGAGAAGGGATGTTTTTGTTGGATCAGAAATCTGACCACCCCATCAATGGTGTGGAAATGATTAGTTATATTCAAACAGGCTTTTTAATTTTTTTGTGTATGTGAGGTAGGAGTTTGTTTTAAAGTGTTATGGAATTAATAAATGTCAACGTTTGTTTTTTTCCACCTGCGTGGTTTCTGTCAGGACTCCGAGACCCTACCCTGAATGAGGGGCACTGTATAAATGCAAGTTGTTGTTCTTGTTATGATGTTTGACTCTGGATGTAAATGTATCTTGTACAAGGAACTCCACGTACATTGTGCTGGCTTAAAAGAACTCTGGCTGACCCGAGATTGTCTTGGAGACAGATAAGGGGTTCCCTGTTTGGATTTGGTGCACTTTATATTCACATGTACTTTTTCTGGTATTTTTACTCTGTGGGTTTCCCACTTTTTTCCCACTTTTTGACCCCATAAGCTGATCTACTCTTTTAACCTGTCAAAGCCTTTCTCAGCTGAGTTTCCATAAATGGAAATAAATGCAGTACTCTTGTTTGTTGACAGGCAAACGCAACACGACAGGAGGTCAAACTAACAGAAGAATGTGATCAGCTGATTGAAATCATCCAGCAAAGACGGCTACTCATTGGCACTAAAATCAAGGAAGGAAAGGCAAGTGTGACAAATCCGAGATTCTACATTTTATTTTTTATTTCAAAAATGGATATTTGTTACGAGCATGTTCCGGTTAGAGATGAACTGGACAGGTAACCCTTAACCTTCATAACGAACTCCATAAAGGTGTGACTTAAGCCTGGCTTTCCAGCCTGAGCTGCTCTAGGTACACCTGAGATGGTGTGAAGAACAAGAATCTTGGGTTTATTGAGGATCGTGTAATGGAATGGAAAGGTGCCATATTTTTTGTAATTGTTTTTTTACTTTGATTCTTTGATCTGGTACTGATTTTAGGTTACTAATATTCCAAAAAGGAGTTGTAGTTACTTAAGGAAGAGTGTTTGCTGCAGCAGTGAGACTTTTATTGGGAAAAGCCAGTTCAGTCCTTGGTGCAGAGAAAGCATAGTTGGAGGAGGATACTGCATTCTTGTTGCTTCAGAACAATTACTGAGGTTGGGAAAGTACCACATCACTTCAAAAATACTGTAATTCATTTAAGTTGGACATTGTTTGCGTGTACATTTTCTAATACTTTGATGTTGATGCAAAGATACGCTCGAGCAATGTCCGTGGTTAAAGGAAGCCAGCTATGATTGCTGGTGAGGCTGCCAATGGAAGCCAGAATTTACAACAAAAACTTTACATTTATATAGTGCCTTTCACCTCTGGAGGACTTCTCAAAGTGCTTTTCATAACCGATTGCAAAAAGTGCCGAAAAGCATGGATGAAAAGAAAGGCCTTAAGGCAGGCTTTAAAGGTGGACAGGGATGGAGTGAGGCAAAGGGGCTCTTGGATGGAATTCTAGAGAGGATAATTGAAAGCTCATCCACTGATCCCAGGCAGGTTGGGAGGGGGACATGAAACAGGCTGTGCTTGGTTTGTTATTTCTGATTTCGGAGCATAGGTAGTCTTTAAAGGGCTCGGGAAGTGGAAACAGCATCCCAAATCCAGAATAGAGTCCAGGATCAATTTGCACAGAGCAAGCTGCCTGTCAGACTTTGAGAGAGGAAGTTGTTGACTTTTGGCATTATCCTGCAAAACTGCTTGGAAGGAGTGAACTCTCTGCTGAGGGCAAAGGTTACAGTGTGTTGACTGGCAAGATAGAGGCCCAAGACAATTGGGACCTCGAAGACAGGTAATAGGGGCTATTGATGAGCACACAACAAAAAAAACAGTTAAAGACTAATTGTACAGCTTACTAAAGGAGCCCTGTAGCTCAGTGGTTAGAGCATTTGCCTCGCAAGTGAGAGCACCTGGCTTTGTTTCCCGGGCAGGGCAAAACCTTCGGCAAGTTTCCTTACTCCACGCCTCTGTTTACCTAGCAGTAAGTAGGAACGCAGTTAGTCGTTTGGCAAATAATTCCTTCAAAAAAAATAATAATAATCACAATTTGATCACTCAATCCACGACTGTTTGTGGGACCCTGCTGTGAGCAATTAGCTGCCACGTTTCACCTACAAAATATAGTCAATTCACTTTAATGTATATTCTGTGAAGTGTTTTGAAACGTCTCGAAGATATGATAACGTGCTATTTCAAATGCAAGAGTGAAATTTTGACTATTCAACAGGAAATTATCCTGTTAAGTAAATATAACTGATAGCAGATCTCATGTTGTCCTCAGCTCATGAATGGACATAACCAATTCTTAACAATATCCCTGGGTAGCTATCACCGAGTGTCAAGTCCAGGATGACTGAAACCATGTGTACTGTCCTATCATCACCCCAGCTCAGATCAACAACTTCAGCTCAGACCAGAGATGAAAAGGCTGTCCTTCTCTACACAACTCAGTGGCAAACAATGCATTTGCTCATTGAGCCACCAGTGGACTGCAATTGTTGTTCTGCTGAACGTACATTACTGTACTTTGCACGCACACTGGCTCACAGTAATTATGCAAAATGGCTCACAGTAATTTTGCTCTCTCCTCCTCATCCCCTCTGATAGCTCTGAGTTTGTTAATTAACACACGGCTGAACAGATATCTGATTCCTTCTCAAATCTGTGGGCACAGCCCTACCTCCACCATCTCCCTGTGTCATCTTTTCCATATATCTGTATTCGCATTTTCTTAAGCATCATTAAAGCCATTTTGAACTATTTTGGCTGGAAAAATAGCTGCTTTTTGTTTAGAATCAATAGATACAATAGTGATTTTCTCCCTAATTTGATTTATAAAAAAACAATTTACTTTCGGTAAACAACTCGCAGCTTCAGTGTCATATATCTTAGATGTAGTCTGCTTATCAGATTTTTTTTTCAAAAGTCTATTTTCAAATATTATACAAAATCTGGTAGATCACAAATGACTAAAACAACTTGCACAAAGGTAAGTGTCCCCAGCCTATTCAACGTAATAATATCACAGTGAGCTAGCTGCAAATGTGACCCCAATATCTGACTGAATGTTCCTGTTGTGTCAATCTGCATCAGTGCTTTATTCTTTTATCCTTATTGGGCAATCCGACCCTAAGAATTCCCTCAGCAGGAACCACTCAGCTTTATTTTCTGATCTACCTCCTGTTCTTTTTCCCTCATATTTTGATCCTCATCCTCATTTAGCCCTTTCCTTATAATTATATGATGATGAGTCTTTAGCCAGTTTTTGTGTGTGTACATAGCTCCATTTGGCAACTGTAGCTGTAGCGCCACCTAATCTGCTGCTTCCATCTGGTTAGGTTTGTACATTTTGCATAATTACTGTATTGATTTTGGCTTCCCTATTCTTATTGTCAGACGAATCTCACTTTGAAGAGTAAACTGCTTTACTGATCCAATGCACACAGATTTTTAAATTCATGCACTTCTTTACATTTCAGTTCCAGCAACAAGTCTTTAACAGTGACAATGTGCTGCTTGCAATGATATTTTAATGGAGAGATGTTGCTATGTGCAACACAGTTATTCATAATGTTCAACTCTTAACACTGAATACCAATGGAATGGTATCTATCTGTCGAGATAAATCAACCTGCCTGAAACTAAAAATGGAAAACTAACAGGAAAAAAAATTAAAACTGGTGATGTGTGTGTTTTAGTTCTGAATTTAAGGGACGATTTATTTTCCTGTCACAATTTCCACTCAATACTTAACTAAGTGGCTATTGGTCCTGTGTAACTGTCGGTAGGCCATTCAACTGTGAGGGCATTGCAACTACGCCCAGTTCTGTCTTCACCCAATAATCAGATAAATGGTTTACTACAGAGGTCAATGGGTAGCATTCAGCAGTGGATATCCTCGACCAAGGGTGCTAAAGCCAGAGAGTGCTAGGCGAGCAGAGAAGGTTGGTGCCATTGGACAGAAAAAGCTTCAGGAATTTCCTGTTTCAGATTGTTTCCTGTTTCTGACTTCTGTGAATAAACATGTTGTTTTCATTTAAAAGTTGAGATGGAATCTAAATGTTTCTATTATCCCAGAACCAACCTCACTCAAGACCATTTATGATTATTATTATTATGTTTTAAAAATTCTTGCATTTCTTAAATCTCAAAATATCTCAAACTTTTCTGTAAAGTGGAGTGCTGTGTATTTGTAAGTAAGTGCAGCAGCCAATTTGCGCATAGCAATGTCAATCAAACAGCCACAAAGTGATTGACCTTTTTTCTATCTGGGGAATTGTAGGCTATGATATCAGCAGAAACTCCCTTGTCTTTAAAATAGTACCATGGAATCTATTTAATAACAAGAAATTCTCAGTTTGCCTGATTTAATTTGTTAAGATTAACAGATTTCTATAGTCATGGCAACTAACACCATGTATGAATAAGTAAAGACAAGTCAATATGGATTCCTTATGGCACCCTTCATTTTCTACAGTTGGTAAACTTACATGCAGAGACATGGGTATGACTTCATCAGGATTGCCTTGGAGCTGAAGTATCAACAGTCAGAGGGGATTCCATCCGTTTAAGCTTTTTTCATTCCGTTGATTGTGTGGTTGCAGTTTTGAGGCATGTTGGAAGATCTGATAAATTCACTGTCTTAGAATGGTGATGATGGCACCTAATGTGTTCAGATCAAAACTGGAAAGTTTAACATAACATCCTTGAGTTTCAGTGTTCGATAGGTACGCATTAATGTATCCTTTTTATCCACAAATTTAGTGGTGGGGGGGGAAGGGGGTAAGACCTTGGAATGTATTTATGGTGTCAAAAGATTGGGGTGTGGATTTTTAACAAAAACATTGGGAAAATTTGGTTAAAATTTTTTTTTCCACCTCTCTCAGTTTCCTTCAGTCTATATGTCAATCTCTGATTTTCTATCTCTTTCTATGATTTCTCAATCTCTTAACCCTACACTGACCAAAAGTAAGTATTGCAGACATCTTCTCACACCTTTAAAAGATTCACTTGGGTGCAAAGATGCACGCGAGATTAGTATACCCGCTTGCATTACATATTGGTGCAGAATGTATGCTTTTCAGATTTTATCTATAATGTGTACTACCACTTTTATCCTCCTGGTTTTACACTGCACAGGCTGTTAATCATAACTGAATATTTCTTTTATGTACATTGGAAAAAACGTGAATCTGCACGTAAGGTAATGAATATATTGGGATGTAGTTTATATTTCCTTGCTCGGGCAAACACTACTGATATGATTTTGCTATTGACACAATTACACTAAAACTAATATGGGCTCATTGTTATAACAAGGAGTATCCTTGTTGCTAAGGTATCGTTGTACATCCAAGGTGCAAAATGTCAGCTGTTTCTTTTAAGTTTTTAACATTTATAACATACAAAAGGGCAAAATAGCATTGAATACACACTTTCTTGTTTCTGTAAGTTTGATTATGTTCATGCACTCTACTCTTCAACCAAGGCAAAGCACTTTATATTATTGTAACAGACACCTGTAGCCAGCAAAACCATACCCTCTGTTTGAAATGGATGGAAGTGACAAGTTTTTTGTTTTTATATGCTATAGTTTTCCAATGCAAGAACTGTAATACAAACTTATATAAGCAAAATACAGTCCAAGATGAAATTCCTGTCACTGTTGTGTTTACGCAACAATTTTGCTATAATACCCTAAAGGTAACATAATGTGACATACACAATGTGTGACATCCTTTGGCTTGTCGTTGCATTTGCTAGAGATTTGCATTTTGTTTTTTGTAAAATGTCAAAACCTATTACATATCATTTCTATAAAGGATGTTACGCACGATAGCATGGCAAGCTGCCACATTGATGAATAGGCTTTAAAAACAGATGCGTTGATGACAATTATAGCAATAATTTGTGCCGCAACAGTGCCACAAGCGTGCAAGGCATGTTAAATATGAGGAACTAACCATGCAACACTTTGTTTCCTCTTATTGATCCAGGCAGAATATATGGCTGAGGGGTACCTAATCCCAAAGTCAACCAAACATTGGAGTTCACAGAGAGCTTTGTGATGCAAATTTTTTTTTGTATGTCATGCCACCTCACAAGATCTTAGCTCCAACCCAAAGTCTCCTTGGAGCCAGTCTTGCAAGTCGACATGACAGTAGAGAGGTTTCTCTACAAAAAACATAGTTTATGTCACAAGGCACTTTAGCTGACAGCCAAGCACGAGTAACACTATCACTTTCAAGATGAGTAGTTTTTCAACCCTGAGTTAACATCACTTACTTGCCCCATATGGAATGTTTCACCTTCAGTGCAGTCGTCACTGTTCAATAGGTTTTCAAGATGACAATTGAAGAGCCTCTTGAATAATTTTTTCAAAATATTAGCCAATCCCTTTATGCTACTTTTACTATTTGGTCCTATCTTTTGTTCTGTCATTTTGCCCGTCTTTATAAATCCCAATAATGCTGCAAATGTTTTCACACTCAAAGAATATTTCACCTTGGAAGACTACAGCACAGACATTCTACTGAAACCCATGCCATTTGCTCATTAACTAGATTTAGCAGCCAAATATTTAGCTCAAATACTGTATAATGAATTTACTTAATGCTTCCATCTAGAGGACTTAAAAGTTGTTTTGAATAGCATTGAATTGAGATTATTCTGTCAGTCAGTTAGCAGCCAGTTTCCTGAGCTCACACCATGGACATGACTAATTTTGCTGTTGTACGCTTTGTATAATGACTTCTCTATTCTTATCCAATTTTCAAGCTTGCTCATGTAATAGGAATGGGAGGAAGGATATACGATTTGCGTGTAAGAATTGTACTAGAGTAAAGATTAATCAAAGAGATGGACAGCCAAGATTTGCTTTGCAAATTGTGTGGTAGAAATAATTTGACCAATTCACAAACTGACGTGTGGTCAAGAAGATAGAATAATAATTTAGTTTACAGCATGTTTCACACCTGGAGGATGTCTCACAGCACTTCACAGGATATATTATAAAGTTTAGTGACTGTATTTTTGTAAGCCAACACAGCAAGCAATTTGTGCACAGAAATGTCCCACAAGCAGCCATGAAATGCATGGATGCTTGTATCATGGTTGCACAAATGCCATAAGTGATTCAACAGAATAATTTAGGGCAAGCAATGTAGTACTTTAAAAATAGTTCTGAAATTTGTTGTTCTGTGTTAATTGTTGCTACAAATGGGATGCACAGTTCACCATCTTTACAATGCAAATCTAACCTGTACCATACATATTCTTGTCAAGTAATGCTAATTTACTTAATCTTTCAAAGATCCTTCTGAATCATATTTGTGTTTTCATCACAGCTTTTATAGCCTTCCAATGAAAGAAAGTGTTTTATAACCAAAATTCCTCGATGGATCAGTTGGCTCAACTGCCCAGTATAGAGATCAGGAAAGTCTTGAGTGAGTTAGCTTGCGTGGAGAGTCCTGGACCAGAAAGAGAGAAATCAATCAGGGTTACTACTTGTCAATTGCTTAAGTTCAGGGACACCAGCTGGAAAATGCAAGTTTGTGGATGTTGGGTGAGAAAAGAAGCGGATTTGATTGAAATGTTCCTGATAGACATATCGGCTGCCACCATCATTTGCCTCACACATGGCTACCTGAGGAACCACCTTTAATAGAGGAGAAGAGACTAAAAACTTAAGGGGACCTGTGTTTGTAAAAACAATTTGGAGTGCTTTGATGTTCTGTGATGAATGTACTTTGCTCTCAATTAAGGTGGTGAGATTAAGAAAACTGGCACAGCAAATAGCTAATTGCAAGCAATGCATTGAAAGATCTGGATCTCTCATCACTCAAGCAGAACACACTCTGAAAGAGAACGATCACGCTCGCTTCCTACAGACCGCTAAAAATATCACTGAAAGGTAAGGTGAATCTTGAAACTGTTGTGCGGCTTCAAATGACACTGATAGCTACAGGCTCTTAAGAGGATCGGAACAGCTAATTCCTTCTATGATAGAATCTTGTTCCAACGCTATTCATTGTAGAACAATTTATTATAATGTGGGTTCTCTTATCATGCACCTGAGAAGTGAGCTGGCCAGCTACAAGTATACACAGTTCAAGTAAAGGTGTTGGACAACTTTCACAACCCTGTTATAACAGGGATCCATTGTATTCCTGCACTGCCTCCTGCAAAGAAATCATAATAATAATTCTTGCATTTGATATAGAGCTTTATCACGTCTTTGAGACATCTCAAAGCACTTCACAGAATATACTGTAAAGTGAATTGACTGTATTTTGTGGGGGAAACGCGGCAGCCAATTGCGCACAGCAGTGTCCCACAAGCAGTCGTAGATTGAGTGACCAAATTATTATTATTATTTGAAGGGAATATTACCCCCAGAAAAGCGATCCGCCAATTGATTAACAACCGGGTTCCTACTTACTGCTAGGTAAACAGAGGCGTGTGGAGTAAGGAAACTTGCCTAACATTTCGTCCTGCCCGGGAATCAAACCAGATCCTCTCGCTTGTGAAGTGAGTGCTCTAACCACTGAGCTACAGGACTCCCAACTAGATTGTCTTTGACAATGTGCACCAATTATGATATTTTGAACTTGTAACATACACAGGCCTGAAATTTCACCTAATCTCGCTCTGTAAGACACTTTATCTTAAAACTTAACATAGCACAGAATTCTGGAAAATTCCTAAATTGGGAAGCTGTTTTACTACTTGTTTTCCACAGATTCCCTGATAAGAATTTTCCTCAATTCTGGGCAATCTTAAATCTTGAGCCAAAATTGTCTTATAGCTGAAACTAGTCAGAATTTCAGACCTGTGCACTCGACAGGTTTAGAATGCCATTGTTGGTGCACACTTACAGCATCAGGAGTTTTTTGCTGTGAATTTTCTGTCACAGACAGAAGTCAAAATTGTAACCTTTGTAAAATTTGCAAAGGTTACAGAAATCCTAATATTTCTTCCAATTATGTCACAGCCATCTTTGGTTTTGTCGAGCAGACATTTCTATCCCTACAGTCCTATTCATAGCAAAATAGGAATGTGCTGGACCAGCAAGGATTATTTCTGTCCACCTGGCCCAATGTAAAAATGTTTTAGAAAATAATTCTAAAATAACAAATAATCCTACACTCTTCCGGCGCTGACACCCTTCAGTTGAGTTTTCCTTCAACTAAACTCCCACTTGAGTTTGCCGATACCTTTTGCTTCCATCACCAACCGGAGTCGACTGTTCTACATATTCCCAGTGTTTATTGTTAATTATCGTTAGGTTAACAAAGGCTAGGATTTCTTTTGGCAGAAAGCATTGGCATTGCAGTGTGATAAATGTCTGAATATCTGAAATGAGCTCAGTCAGCCAAGCTGTCACAGCTCCTTATCCGGGGTCTCATCAATAATGGGTGTGACAGCTTGGATTTGAATGCACAATAGCTGCACAATAGAAATGAAAAATATTCTGTTTGTGCTTTGCTTCAGATAGCAATGAGTATCTCAGCATTTTCTAAAAAGGAATAAAAAGGGCTCTCGAATTGATTGAATCTTTGAGACTTTACTTTCTACTTTAATCAGCTCTCGTATCCATAAACATATTGGACTGGTTCTACCATATCAAATCACTTAAGTACGAAAGGAAAATTCTATGAGGAAAAATAATGCAGGCGTATTTCAGAATGCTGAAGGAAAAACATAATTTATAGCTCTGAGCAATGCATGGATTTTGTTAATTTCATGGGTTTCCTATAGCAACAGAAATGCAGAAGTCCTCCCACTAAGGAAATACTGTGACAGTGTGTACTTATTGTTTCTTCTTACATTATATTCTCCGCCTCTCCCGAAGACATTTGACTATTATTTTCTTTCACCCGAGACGCTGTTCCATGAGTGTGGAATGTGGCTGTGGAACTGTACCTCACTCAAGACATATGTCAGTCTTCACAATCAGTGTGGGCTGTTAAATCACATGCATCTCCAACAAGTGTCAGCAACTGGAGCAGGAACTCTGTCTGGTTCAGAGTCTAAACAGCATGAAATCATTTCAAAAAATTGCATTTGATAATCTTTACATTCTGCTCTCTGGGGCTCCATCCCTGAGACCCTCCTAAATGGAGGGAGTCCTGTAGCTCAGTGGTTAGAGCACTCGCTTTGCAAGTGAGAGACCTGAGTTCAATTCCAGGCAGAGGGCGAAACCTTGGGCAAGTTTCCTTACTCCACACAGAGCCTAATAATAATCCCTCCAAAAACAAAAACAATAATAAATTGGTCATTTTCAATCTACGACTGTTTGTGGGACATTGCTGTGCGCAATTGGCTGCCGCGTTGCCCACAAATATACAGTCAATTCACTTTACAGTGTGTTCTGTGAAGCGCTTTGGGACGTCCTCCTGACGTGAAAAGCGCTATATCAAATGCAAGGATTATTATTATTATTATTATTATTAAATCACCCCAATCCTCTCTACTTTCAAAGTCTGTATCAAGATGCATCTTTTTTGACTGCTTTCGGTCATGTTCCCCCTATCCACTCTTTTCAGAAGCAAATGTGACATCAGTATTGAAGAGAAGGGTCAAACCAAGTAACCTATAACAAGAACAACTTGCATATATGAGCCTTGCACACAGAAACTAGTCAGTTTAACATCAGTAGTTGGAAAATTAATGGAATCCATCATCAAAAACAAAATAAAGATAAATACAGAGTCAGCATGGTTTTGTTAAAGATAGGTAGTATCTAATCATCAAAGAGAGTGTGACCAAATCACAGAGTTGGTGCATGGATAAAGATCTGCAATTGCCGTTGACATGAATTGGATTCAGAAAGCACTTGATCAGGTCCCACATAAGACATTACTAGCTACAGTCAAGTGCATGAAATCAAAAACAACTTAATGTTGGTAGGCAGAGTTGAATCAAAATGATTCGTTCTCTGATTTATAGATAGTGGCAGGTGGTGTTCCAGGTTTCAACGCTAGGGCCGTAGATTTTCACATCATTAATGGTCTGCTTTAGCAATAGAAGGGAGTATGTCCAAGCTTGCTGATGATACTAAGATGGAAGATAGGGTGATTTGTGAAGAGAGCAGAGAATTCTAAGCGCACGTAGATAAGTTAGGAAAATGGGCAGAACTATGACTGACACTATTCCAGAGTAACTAAGTAAAAGGTACAACAATTTAGACTTGAAAATAAAAGATGGGAATACATTCAAGATGGGAACCATTGTGGTGGGGATAAGGATTTAGATTCCAAGTATCTGAATTATTAGTTGCAAAAACATTCAAAATCCTTAATGGGATGTTGGGCTTTATCACAGATATAGAATACTAGCTGTGCTTGTTAGCTGTACCAGATATTGAATACTACCTGTAGATTGACACCACAGACAGACACACTTACTTATCCTTGAAAGATTTGATTTTCGCTTCGGCATCTTTATAATGATAAATGGATAATTTATAATCACTGGGACGCCCTCCCGACATGAAAGGAGCTTTACAAAATGTAATTTTGTTTCTGTGGCTGAGCTTTGCCTGTGTTCTTTATTTTGTTCCCCCCACCGTTTGGTTACGTGCGTGATCTGTGACGCACGATGCCACATTACCACCTTGACTTGTTGGTCAACACATGTAACTGCAGCGAAAAACGCAAAACTGGAATACATTTTAGGTCATAACTCATGAACGATATGAGATACTTGAAAACAAATATGCCCACGTCACTCCCAGTGGCAAGACGTTTTCGATGAGGTAAAAAGCATAGCTCTATGTCAATTGGTTATTGAGATCCTTCTTGAAGACAGAAGACAGGCAGGCAGGCAGACACAGACAGGCAAGCAGGCAGAGTCATTTTATTACACAAGGAAATTCTACTCAGCATAAGTCAGACCTAAAGAGTATCGTGCTCAGTCTTGGCACTCTATCTGAGAACGGATGTTGAAGAAAGTCCAGAAATGATTCACTAGGATGATATCTGAGATGAAAGGTACAAGAGATGATAAGATATTGGGATAACATGAGTTACATTCTCAAAATCTCAAGACTTTAAGGGATATTCTGATTAAAGTGTTGAAGATAATGAAATGAGTTGACTTTGCAGATAGGGAAAGAATCTTCCCTCCACTAAGGGATACAGACCAAGCGACCTCTTAAAATAATGCTTAAAAAATGAAATTCCAAAAATATTTTTTCAGACAATTGTTTGTGGGAATGAACCCAGAAAACTGAAAATGCAGAATCAGTTAAAGTATTTCAAAGCAAAGTAATTGATATTTGGGAAGTAGCATTATTAAATGGTATGAAGAAAAAGTGCGGAAATGGGATTAAAAATTTGAAGGACTTTCATGATCCAATAAAAGCGCTCTGAGACGCCGTCCAGCTTTGAGGGCGCTATATAAATCCAAGTTGTTGTTGTTGTAAAATGGGTTGACCGCTTGTAATGGGTTTCTCTTGGCAAATATAATTTGTGGGTTTAGCTCACTGCTTATTCTAAAGAGCATTCTGTGATATACATGAAAAATAGCTGGTAAAATGAAAAATAAAACAAATACAATATTTAATTCATGAAAGAGCAGAATATAGTAAATAACTCATCAGTACCTAGTGTATCCAACCACATGAATATTAATTTCAAAATCATACATTTCTAATCACCTAGATAAAACTGTGGATTCTGAACCTTTTGTACTATATTTATTCCGTAACTCAAATTGCAAATTGGAACACACTGATATTGAAAGCACTGCAGTTCACCAAAGAGAACATAAATATGACTCAAGAAGCCACATAATATGAATTAAGTTATGATTAAATGAGAAATTGAGAAATTACTTTTGCTTGAGTGGGAGGACAATAACAACAGGTATGTGACAACAATCCTTAGGCAAAAGAAAGTCTAGAAAGAAAAGTTTTAAATATTGTGAAATTGTTTTACATCTTTGCCAAAATCCTTAATATTTCTATGAATTAGGTTTGTTAATAAATAGGTTCCTAGGTGATGTGTATATGATCATTAAGCATATTCCAGTGTGGCTGAGCAATGTGGAATTCATTCAGGTAGAATTCTCTGAATGATCCTTGATATTTGCTTACAGCAGGACTAGTTCTGCATTATTGGATGGAGTGGAACACTACATAGAGTTAATAGATATTTGATGGAAATTTTTTCTAGGAATAATATACAATAACTTTGGACTTTTTTCTCTCTCTGCAGAGTGTCTATGGCCACTGCATCTTCTCAAGTGCTTATTCCAGAAATCAATTTGAATGATACATTTGATACATTCGCATTAGATTTCTCACGTGAAAAGAAGATGCTGGAAAACCTTGATTATCTCACAGGTAAGTTCTATGACAAGATACTGCTTTAGCTTTACTTTTAGATCCAGTACAACATTTAACACAATGGGAGTTTCTGAACTCACATTATCAGAAATCTCTGTAGTTTAACTTGTGAACACGTAAAAAAAAAATTCCGATACCAGATACCTCTGCTTGCCAGCCTTTTCCCAGACTTTGGCAGCTTGGAAAAAACTGTCCGAATCTCTCATTCCAACAATCACAAACTAGAAGTCGTAATTAGCACAATGAGTATGGTTTGCACATAATGTATTTTACATTCTGTTTTTTTTAAACAAACAGCCCAGGTGTATTGTTTGAGAAAAAGCTAATTTTGTTAGTTTTGTGGTTTTGTGAGAATGACTCTCGTGCAAGGTATTGGTTAAAAAAAACTTATCAACTTAAAGAAGTCTACATTTGGTTCCTGCCACTCAATCAATCTCTGTAAACAAATGTGAAGTTTTTGCCTGGTTTGTGTTTCCTTGTAGCACCGAATCCACCTGCTATCAGAGAAGAGCTGTGTACAGCATCACATGACACGATCACGGTTCACTGGACGTCGGATGATGAATTCAGCGTAGGGTCGTATGAACTACAATATGCTATTTTCACAGGACTCGCCAATGTAGTTAGTAAGTCAATTATGATTTCTGTTTATTTTTGTTTGACTATTTCAAAAATAAATTCATATGCCCAACATTCCCGGGTTGACTAATTTTACCGCATTTTACCAAATAAATGTATTGATCAAGGTTCTTAAGAAAGAACTTTGTTGTAGTATCTTATTACATTGAAATACTTCCAAAGCACTTCATGAGTATTTGCTATTAGGAATTGCATTCACTGTTTATGCCAGCCGTATATTGCAGCAAGGTTCCACATACACCATGAGGTGACTAATCTGGAAGATTCTTGCTCAGGAGAAACTCCTTTTTATTTAATAGTTTCATGAGATCTTCAACATCCATCTAAAAAATAGAAGATGGGACCTTGGTTTAATATCTTATCTCCAACTGGTGAAACCATTGTTCAGTGGGAAGGGACGTGTGTCCAAGCTGTGGGCAGGAAAGATGGTGTCATTGCTCTCATGCAATTCATGCTGAGCTGCATTGCTCACCAGGAAGCTCACAAGGAGCTCTTGGTAGCTGGCTTTCACTTAGCGCACACTGAGATCTCCAAGCCTTGGCTCTTGTCAATCTGCGCCGAATACTTCTTGGAATTAGGTAAGGAGAATACATCCATCCAGGGAAAGAGTGCACATTTCATTCCAATAAACATCTCTGGAATTTCCATGTGTAGATGGGATGCATCTTGGATACTCTTAAGTGTGGTGATGGGTTCCCGCATGTGTCAGATACCCAGCTGATGAAAAAAAAGCAACTACTCCTGCCAAAAAGCTGTCTAGGGCTTTACATAATTTATAGCTCCAATCATGCTGATGCCAATTCTTTAATGCGCTTAAAAAGTAGTATTCACTGTACTGTGCAATGTTATTTTGACAGTTTGAGATACTTCTCACTGAAACGTGTGGAAAAATTCCTGCTTCTCAAAAAAAATCCTAACATGAGAGCAGATGAAGGCACTAGGCAAAAGATGATTTGATGCTTGAGGCTAAGTGTAACACTAACTTTGTTTATATAAACAGAGTGTTGTCTGATGGCATTTTAGCTCATTGAAGCATAAACTATTTGGAGTTACGCAATCTTGTTACCAGTTAGTGAAAAGTACTTTGGAAATTATTCAACAAGTTATTTGCAGTGTTAGCAGTGTTGAATGTACAAAGGAGGAGACAGATTCCAATTCAATAGATGTACATCTGGCTCTACTTTTGAAGATTGTGAACTATAGAAAGAGTTAAGATGCAGCATTCCTAATATGCCAATGAGCAGGGCACTGCTTGGTGCAGCACTGCCTTATAATTTGTCTATATGGATGGAAGGTTGCAGGTTCTGTGTCTTGTCTACGCTCATAAGCTGATCTCAGCCATGGTGGGGATTGGAGAGACACAATTGATGTCAATGGCCCTGGGTTAGGGAGGACAAAATCATTTGCCGCAGACAGCCATTACGATTGTGAGCATTTTACTAAACAAACTGTTGAAACGTGCTCAATTTTATGAAGCAAGCAGCCATGGGGATTGTGAGCAATAAATTATTGAAACTTGTTCTTTTTAAAATCCCCCCCAAACACAAATTTTGGGCCAGTTTAATGAAACGATACTTAGAAGTTGAAGGTGAGATTAACTGAACAGTATTTCTTATGAACTAATGTAGCAGGTGTGCAGTTGTCTTTTGTTTGAATGTACAATAATTCTTTAAATTCTCCACTTGATGCGTGACTTGTTTTTGGATTTGCAGGTTTGTGTAGCTCAGCCGACAGCTGGATGATTGTTCCTAACATCAAACAGAACCATTACACAGTCCACGGGTTGCAGAGTGGCACCAAATACATCTTTATTGTTAAGGCCATAAATCAGGCCGGCAGCCGCAGCAGTGAACCCTCCCGGCTAAAGACAAACAGTGAGTGTCTGCGGGTCTCGGAAAGTCTCCAGTTCTAGCTTTGGAAAGGTTGCAAAATATGCTGCCAACAACAGTAGCAACGGTGAAGGGTTTGTGTGAAATTCCATTGGTGATGGTCTTTCACATCTATTTTGGCTTTATTTCATACTCCAGTACAGCACATCCTGTTTACAGATTAAAGGTTGGCATTGTATACATACAGTGTTGCAAGCCTCACCTCTCATTGAGCTTTCAGGGTGGTCAATAATTTAGTGTTAATGCATCAGTGCAATTGATCCCCTTTTCCATAAAGATCAGGTTCGATAAGGTTAATGTAAATAACGTGTTACCACTTGTTGAGGAGTCCGTAACCAAGGGACACAACTGTAAGATAGCAATTTGGGGATCTAACAGAGAATTTAGGAGGAACCACTCCACACAGAGGATGATGAGAATGTGAAACTCACTGACCAAAGTAGTGGTTGAAGCAGATGGAGTAGATGCATTTAAGAGGAAGTTAAACACATGAGGGAGTAGGGAATAAGGGGGAAGTAAGGATGGATGGAGCTTCATGCGGAATATAAACTCTGACATGGGCCAAATGGCTCACTTCCCTATTGTTCAATCTATGTAAGTCCTAGACTAGGTGGAAATTCCAGAGTGATACAATCTAGCACTTGTTTTTTTTCCACTGACCGAATTGGGGGAGATAACATTCCCTTCAGTTCAAAGGATATAAGGGGCTGCACTAAAATAATCTGCCCTAACGTTAGGATGTTTGGGAATTTCATTCTGTGAGGGTGAACAAATCTTTTACATAGGACACAGTTGTCTCTGTTTGTGAAGCTTGAAGATTGGTTGAAGTTTGTCTGTGAACAGAAGAAGGCCACATTTGGATAGGGAAGGTGTGGATGAATAATCTAAAGTTCACCCTCTCTGCTGTTATGTGCTTTGGTGGATCCATAGTATTTTTGCTGTGTTACGTGGACTGAAGTCTATCATAAAGTAGGTTTTGCATGCTGGATAGCTGGATGGGATTTTCTTCCATGTTTTCTGAGGTTTACAGCATATATGAATCACTGTCGCAAAGGAAAATTCTACTTGCAATAAAGATCCAGAGAAGCCCACAAAAGATTCACAGTTTTGCTTCACCTCAGTGTCCTTCACTCTTATCACACTGTGAAATCAAGAGCACTTAGACTATCTCTTAAAATGCCACATTTGATTCTCATTTGCTCTGTGATTTACGACTTCAGTGGAAGGAACTGTGATGTCGACCAATCTGAGGTTCAGTTAATTTGCCTGGCTAAAGTGGAGCTCATAATGTATTTTGCATAAAATTAATAAAATAAAATAATCCCGCAGAATTTAGCTCCTCATTCACCTCCAATATGTCTAACAAGAATAATGGGCCCAAGTTTGATGGTTGTCAGAATGGGCCCTTTAAAGCAGAATTAAGCTTATACTTTGTTTTATTACTGTTTGCTTTTATTTGTCGTTCTTTGCTACACAGCTCAACCACAACCTTGTAGAAGTAAGTTATCACTTCAAGGAGTTAAATGTGCTGAACTCACTTGACCACCAATGGAGTCCTGTTCCTATAGTTAAGAGCATTTTCCTCTCATTTGAGAGAACCTAGTTTCGATCCCTGTGCAGGACGAATCCTTAGACACGTTTCCTTACATCACACATCTCTGTTTACCTAGCAGTAAGTAGGAATCAGGTAGTTAATTGATTGGTGGATCACTTTCCAGGTATAATAAACCTTCAAAAAAAAATAATTTGGTCACTTAAACCCAACTGTTGTAGGACACTGCTGTGAACAATTGAATGCTACATCTCACCCACAAAATTCAATTCACTTTACAGTATATTCTGTAAAACGCTTTGAGACTCCTCAATGACATGATAAGATGCCATATCAAAGTGTAGCGTCTATCCACCTTAAGCTGCTTCTCCCCTGTCAAACCTTCACAACTCCACCAAATAGTAGGTTAAAAGGAGCTGCAATGCTAAACTGTACTTAAACTTCCATGCTAAATTGACAGAAGACTGGAGCATGGGTCCAAAGCAAACACTCAAAAATCACCATCAATGTTCTAAGTATAATCGTCTTCCCATTTTAGGTAACAAACTCCTAAGATTTTAGATGACAAACTCCCATTGTGCCGAACAAATATAGAGCAGCTCTCACAAAGGAAGTTCCAAATGTGCCCTTAAAACATCATCCTCTGCAAAATGTATGTGCTGCATTCACTTATGGAATGTCGCTCATGCATTTTGAATGGGCTCTTTCATTCTCACTGTGCTTGACTTTACTCAGTGCAAAGCCAGAAAAAGTATTTTCTCTCATATAAACGTAGAAACAAGAACTATGCTTCTGGATATCACCTTCCTTATGTGCTATTCATCACTTTTTAAGCTGATTCCACCCTTGGTTTCCACATGGATGTTCAGGCTATATCACTGCTCTTTTTAGAACATAACAATTTACTAGGCGAAAGAAGACAAAGGTCTGCTAGCCTGGTAGTCGCTTGACATTTTGTGTCCCAAACTATATACTGTATCCCGAGATATTATTTTCAAGCAGAAATCGATCTAATTTTTCTTGAAACAAACAACATTTTCTATTTCCACCATCTCGCTAGGGAGCCTCTTCCATAAGTTTACTACTCACTCACTGAAGTAGAGTTTCCACAGATTTGTCCTGAATTTACCCCTCTTCAATTGCCGGCCGTGTACAAGATAAAACAGCTTATCATGGTCTATATTAGCTATTCCCTTCAGAATCTTAAAGACCATAATCATATCACCCCGAACCTTCNTTTTTCTCCAGTGTGAACATGCCTAATTTATCTAATCACTCCTCATAGTCGAGTCCCTCCATCCCCTCAATCATTTTGGTTGCCCTCCTCTGTATCCTCTCAATTGCTGCAATATCTTTTTTATATTGCGGTGGCACACAGTATTCCAAGTGCGGTCGCACCAATGATTTATAAAGTGGCAAGATTACCCCACTATTTCGGCTCAATATTACCTTTTTCATACACCCCAGCATCTGGTTTGCCTTACTCACTAGTACCGAGCACTGTTGTGATAGATTCAATTTATTGTCAATCAGAACCCACAGGAGGCAACTTACCAATCGATTTTCTGGGTCTGGTTTGCGAAGAATTCTGTCTGAACTGAATAGTCGAATAATGCAGGACATTTATGCTCTACTGCCCACTCACTACTCAATACATCTGCCATTCCTACACACCTACACAGCATTGCATTGAACATGACTGTAACAATATTAATTAAATGCCCTGTTATACATAGCTACAGTTCCTAATTCGACTTGCCTAAGACCTCTATTGTGAGAGGAAGTTGCTTTATATCATTAAAATTGAAAAAAAACTATTTCCCATGAGCTAATGGCAATTAATTTGCAGGCTCCCCCTACATTTATTTTTTCTCATAGATAGGAAAGTAAATGGTTTTCAAAAGAGGTTTATCATTTGTGCTCAGCATCCATTCTCAATTAAAAATGCACTACTGAGTCCATATCTGTCTTTGGTTGTTACTTTCACATTTGCTTTGTGCATTTGTGCTGAGCAAGAGATGGTAGTGCTAAGGAATAGATTTTGCACCCAGAAGCAATGTTAAGCACTTTGAAATCAGCGTGAGTCAGCTGCAATGCATTGGTCCCACTTCATTAATTTGGCAGTCTGGCAACATCCAACTAGAGGGAAAATACTCTCCTATGACATACTGATGATAATCCTTGCATTTGATATAACACCTTATAACATCAACATCTCAAAGCACAGGTAATTATTTTCAAGTTTAGTATTTGTAGGTAAACACCAACTTGCATTCACATAGTGCCCATCACACTGAGTAGTATCTTGAGCGTTGAACACTAAGTATGACCATGTGATGTTGATCTTGCATTGATCGAGTGATATATCCTAATGCATATACAATTTGATGACATAACCAGCAGATAGAAGAGAAAATACTTCTCAAGTCCAATGCAGTTATTTGCTGAATTATCACACAACTGTTTTTCTCTCTTTACAATTCCTAGGCCAGCCATTTAAACTGGACCCCAAATCCGCCCACAGGAAACTGAAGGTGTCTCATGACAACCTAAGTGTTGAGCGGGATGAAACTGCCTCGAAGAAAAGTCACACTCCAGAGCGCTTCACCAGCCAGGGGAGCTATGGCATAGCTGGCAACGTGTATATCGACAGTGGCCGCCATTACTGGGAGATCCTCATTGCGGGAAGCACATGGTAAGATCAAGAAACCTATTACACTTGTCTTTCTGGCACAAAATTACAGTACAATTTGTCCAATTTAATCGTTCAAGGGAAAGGCTATAATAGCCAAATTGGACAGTTTACAAAAGCAAGAAGCATGTCAATATTTACAGTACTATAGTTATTTCAAAGAAAAAGGAAGTATCAAGGCTATTAGTACCAAAATCATCTCCAATTAAAGGAAACATTAAATTTCCTTTACATTATTTAACAAGAAACATTAGTATTTAACATGAGCAATTAACTGTACTGACGCTAATATTAATTGATATTTGTATTAAAGCTAGTTAAAAAGTAACACAGGGGTCTAATTTTCAGTATTTCTAAAAAGGATTCTTTCTTCTGGTAACCAGCAGAACATGACAACAAACATCCCACGGTCTGCTCTGACCTGATCTACATGTGATCCTGTGGCTGAACATGAATTCTTTTTTAATGAACGCCATTAAGAAACACCGCAAATTAAACTGAGTTGTGTTTTTTTTAAAAAAAAACCTCTAGGGTTGACTGTCCCATTTGGCACTGTGAGCTGGTGTAGATTTTCAACATTTGCTAGCACTTAAATATCAGTCTTTTCCATTGTGAATTATTGCACTGATTTTTCTGCATAAGGAAACGGGCACAAGTTCACTCACAGAGCTTTCAGTCTCTCCCAACTATGTTCTCCCACCTTTCGGTTGCTTATTCAGGTGAAGTTTATCTACAATACATTGTGAATACATTTACATTTTTCGAGTGCCTTTCACATCGGGAGGACATCTAAAGCACTTCAGAGAAAATCTTAGCTCAGCTACTGTGCCAACATTTTCCCAAATTTTCAATTTGAAAATCGGTGTATAAATGCTGGTTTAGGCCTATTGACCATTGGGCCCATTAGTAATTGAAAGTATGTCAATGCCGACCCATGGAAACTCTACAATGTGATCTCTTCACAAAATTTCCCAGCGGGAATTCTATCAGAATTCATGTTAGAAACTTACCACATTTTCAACCACAATTTTCTAAATGTAACATTGAGAGTGATCTACACCGGGTAAACTAAGTTAATTTAATTTGTAGTCAGATGCTTTCAAGATGCAACACATTCAATAGACTATTGCTTGAACATGCTCTGCATGACTAGAACATGCTCTAGTCAGAAGGTTGTGGGTTAAAGCTCCATGTTGGGATTTTGATCCTATAATCTAGGTGGCATAATCTGGTGATTGACAAACACTCCAGTGCAATGCTGAGAAATATTGCAGTTCTGCATTGTCAGAAGTGTTTCCTTTGCATGAGCTGTTAAAGGAAGGTAACCATCTTCCTATTCTAGTGGACATTAACAATCCCATGATGTTATTCAAAAAGTGAAGGGAAGATCTCCTAGCCAACAATTCACTTCATGGTTGTTTATAATAATAATAATAATAATCCTTGCATTTGATATAGCGCTTTTCACGTCAGGAGGACGTCCCAAAGCGCTTCACAGAACACACTGTAAAGTGAATTGACTGTATATTTGTGGGCGAACGCGGCAGCCAATTGCGCACAGCAATGTCCCACAAACAGTCGTAGATTGAAAATGACCAATTTATTATTGTTTTTGGTTTTGAAGGGATTATTATTAGGCGTGTGGAGTAAGGAAACTTGCCCAAGGTTTCGCCCTCTGCCTGGAATTGAACTCAGGTCTCTCACTTGCAAAGCGAGTGCTCTAACCACTGAGCTACAGGACTCCACAATGTTTGTAGGACATTGCTGTTGGCAAATTGGCTGCTGTCTTTGTCTACAACATACAGTCACTTTACAGTAAATCCTGTGAAGCACTTTGAGTCATTTTGACAATGTGATAAAGAGCTACATCAAATGCAAGAATTATTATTATCATAAGTTATGTATACATCCACTGTACTAGTTAGTTGATCGTAAAATGCACTATGTTTATGAAAATTTTGGCAAACTTGTTCTTTCACGGAATGAATCTGAAATACAATGAAAATCCAGGGCATTGCTGACATCATTGCAGTTGTCCAGAGACTTTATAAAATGCAAAAATGGAAAATGCTGTTAAAATTACTGAAACCAGCTGAATAAATATACAGTTTGTGTTTTTCTGCAATTTTGACTTGGAGTAGATTTGAATTTTGTTTTCTCTTTACTATAACATTTAAAGTGCATCAGCAGCTTTAACCGCTCCATTAAGATAGAACTGATGCATTGTCGGACAACTTAAAATATTGCCTTATTGCATTCTTTAAAATCCACCGTGCCTAAGGTTATTTGTAAGAGATGTTACCCTCATAATCTTATAATCAGAGTAAGAACCAAAGAGCTATATGTCATAAGACAGCTGTATAAGCTCTATCCAATCCAGTAAAGCGCTCTGAGACACCGTCCGGTGTGGAGGGCGCTATATAAATCCAAGTTGTTGTTGTATACATATATTTCTTCCCTTTTCTTACGAGCATTCTGCACAGACATCCACTGGCCATCCTAAATAAATTTCATTTCAATTTCTTGAGTCGTGTTGCATATTTAGACAATCTGTCAGCCTGGCTCAGTTGGTAGCATTCTCGCCTCTCAGTCAGGCGGTTGTAGGTTTAAGAGAGTGTCAGAGTATATTGAATCTGAGGTGCCGTACTTCAGGTGAGACATTAAACCGAGGTCCCATCTGTTTGATCAGATAGTTGTTAAAGATTCAACACACACCTCGAAAAAAGAATGGAGTTTACTCGGTGTCCTGGCCAACAATCCCCCAAATAAAATTGATCATTAATTTCATGGCTGCTTGTGGGACTTTGCTGTTTGCAATTAAACTGATACATCTTGCCTACAATTACACTGTCAGTGCATTTCTCAACAACCACACCAACAACTTAGATTTATATAGCACCATCCATGCCGGACAGAGTCTCAGTAAACCTGCTGAATGAAGCATTTTGGGATGTCTCCTGATGTGAAGGTGCTTTTCAAAGAATGCAAGAATTATTAATGGGGTTGAAATCGTTGCTGTAACTGTAGTGTTTGTTTTGTGTCTGAAATTTCACAAGTAACCGTTGAATTTAATTAAAAAAAAGATTGGTCACAATTCCTCCTGGGAAAGGAGGGAATCAACTAGTCAACTTTCCATTCATTGATCTTGTTGGAAATGCTGTACTATGCAATTAACTTGTTGGAAAATGTTGTTAGATTTGGGAGAAAAAGATCGCGGTGCGATACTTACCATGGATGAATAATTTATCTCCACTCACTGTGAAGCTTCACATATGAAAAAGTGACCACATGACCATGATACCAGTGAGTGTTTTGTTCCATGGAACTGTAAAATACAGGAGGCAATTAGATTCAGGGCAGGAGGGAGAAATCAGCACCATTGAACACACCCATTAATCTAGGGTCCTTTGGCTGTTGTTTTTGTTAGTTTCCTTCCCTTCTACAGCTGATTTGTTCCCCTGATGATTTGACTAAACTAAATTAAACATTTTTAAACTAGGGCTTCTATTATATCATTATTTTACCCACCAAATATACAGTTAATTCACTTTACAGTTTATTCTGTGAAGCGCTTTGAGACATCTCAGAGATGTGTTAAGGCGTTATAAGGGGGAGGGCGTGAACAAAGTACTTGTCTGAATTTTTTTGCCACCCACTGAATCAACACCCCCATTTGCAGGACAACCCTGAGTCCTTTCAGGGAGCCAGAGCCCCACTCGTACCAAACATATTAAAGTCTAAATCAGCTAGTTTTCCAATGAGCATTTTATCACACTCTCCAAGGCTCCAATGTGTGGAATTTTGTTTCCTGTTTCCACACTTTAGTTGTCTCAGAGGCCAGCTGGATCTTTAAAAATATTATTACAGTTTAATTGCAGACTGTTTCCTGCCATTTTTCCAGCTGGCCTTTGTTTTATCAATCCCCCCCCTCTCCCACTTTTGATTTCCAGCAAATTTCCACTAATTCCCAATCCACAAAAGAGCCAAGATTGATATCTTCAATATGGTGTTATGCTGCTCTGCATTCCACTTCACAGTTACTCATTATAGGAACACACACAGAGGAGCCTGGTGGTATGGTTCAATGCAGTGGCAGGCAATACCTTTCAAATAGGAACTTCTCAAGGAGATTATCAAGCTGCTTTAAGGAGCTTGAAAAGTGCCTTGCATTTAGCCTCACACTTGTGATAACTGCAACTATTAAAATAAAGAAAAACTCTGATGGCTCCCTGCATAGCATCTCACCAATGATCTGTGATCCTCCTTGATATTTCAGGAGAATTTTAAGGAACATTAGCAGTGTATGTTGCTGCAGAACAGTGGAATCTGCCTCTGATCCCATCGTTCGCTCCTACAAGTTTCTGATCTCATCTGTATCTGTCCAGATTGCCAAAAAGATACTACCTCTCTCGCTACAAAATATACATCACAATGCTTGCTACAAAATATCAGAATGCTTGCTACAAAATAGATACACACAGCTTGTTATAAACTTAATTCCACACAACCCACTGCAAAATAGATACCACACAGTTTCCTACAAAATAGATACACACAGTTCCCTACAAAATAGATACCACACAGCTAGTTTCAAAATATATACCACACAGCTCACTACAAAATAGATACCACAGGATGAGAGAGAAAATGAAGTGAAGTGCAGTTATTTTTGAGTGCCAATGGCAAGGAGTTGGGAACAATGACTGATGGCCTAGAGGATTAGCTAACACAGTGACAAAGAAAACCTTCCTTTTACAATACAAATTATATTTACATTTTACATTTACATAGTGCCTTTCACTTGAGGAGGATATGTAAAGCACATTGTTTAAAGTAAAAAATAAGTTTTTCTATTCACCTGATACTAATTTTCTCTGTTCCCTCTTTACCTTTTTAACATTACTTTCTTATTACAATAATATACTATTTTCTGATTAATTTGTATCTTTATCATCTAGTTTTGTTTTAATATTTAAGAATTATTTGTTTCTCTCTACCTTCTCAGTCCCACTTTTAAGTGTTTTTGTCTGCGGTAATCCAAAGGTTTCACTTAAATGGCATTGTTTTATTTGAAATATATTACTTTCTTTAAAAAAAACTGCAGTACAACAACAACAACAACAACCATGCAGGATAGCGCTCAGAGCACTTCCAACACTTTGCTGCATACTGTTCTTCTGAAAGAGTAGTGAGCAGCAAGGACTGGTGGAAGCCAAGGTTAAACACAGGTTTCATCTTTCAGTAGCCAGTTTGACAAATGAAGCAAAATTGATGGTTCTGGTCAGGACCTGTGGGTTTCTAAAATATTTCGCACTTTGAAATCATGTTCTTTTTAAATAATTAATGGCAGGTGCATTTTTCAGATGGATACTCCAGAATAAGTGCAGGGTTTGGCATTACCCTGGAGTAATCCTTTTAGGCTGTAAATAGAATATTGTACGTGCGGGAAGAAGGAGCGGATTTAATTTGACAGTAGTACTCATCACATTGTCAGTTGTCTCATTCAAAATTTTGTCCCTCGCAAGTTATCAGGTGGACTCACTCGTTTAAGTACACAGAATATTATATTAAGTATCATTCAACACAAAATTGACGTATTTACTCAGAGGGACCACAGGATAACTGTTGTGAGAATGACAATATATGGCAGCTTGCATAAATCAGAGTTTTATCTAACCATGCTTCACCTGACCTGGACATGATGTAATATGGAAAATCTTCCATGATGACTGTGCTGTGAAGTAGTGTAGCTCAGTGGTAAGAGCATTCGACTTGCAAGCGGGAGGACCTGGGTTCTATTCACGGCAAGACGAAATGTTGGCAAGTTTCCTTACTCCACATGCCTCTGTTTACCAAGCAGTAAGTAGGAACCTGGTTGTTAGTCAATTGGTGGATTGTTTTTCCAGGGGTAATAATTCCTTCAAAAATAATAATAATAATAATAAATTGTTCACTTCAATCCAATTCGCCCTCCTCTTGGAGGCACCTTTAGTCCTTTTTCCTTCTAGTATTCTGCATCTTTACGAGTGCCAGTCACTTTCCAATACCCATTAAGATTCCTATGTGAGTGAGTGCCAACAGGCATCACAGTAGAATATAGTCTGTCCCCGACAGACATCCACATGAGTGCACCTGCCAGTTGCAGTCTCTGTATGGTTGTCAGGAGCAGGAACCCTGGTTGATTTTCACCTCCTTTACCCAGGGGCTCTGAGATCCATTGTAGCACCAGATCAAGATGGATTTCTAGTAGAAAATGTTTTATTTAATACAAAGTATTAAGAATTTTCCTACAATAGAATGATGAGGTGAATAATCAAGGGAAAATCTAATGTCATATAATAGGTTTGGTCTTGCAAAAAATAGCAATTAGCATCAACTTTTAAGCTGAGGTAGTTAATGGTCAATAGATACTGATCAAGTTGCCTTTGAGACTAATTCTTGTTATTCCTGGATGCAGAGATTCATTTGGTGCAGCCGAACAATTCAGTAGCTCATTTGAAAAATAAGAGATCACTTTTAAAGAAATGTCATAATTCATTACAGATGAAGATGATCTGAAAGTCCATCTTCAATTGCAGTTGCTTTATGGTTAGGATGCTCTAAAGTGCACCCTGCATGCAGACTACCTAATACAGCACATTCACATTAGCTCTTTTTTACACCTGATCATGTTTGTGTATGGTATATGTATTCTGTTGCAAACTCTTTTTGTATCAAGCAAGTGTTTTCCCAGTAAGATATGGAAATGCCAGTCAATTGGGGATCAATCAATCACTCTATCACAAGTTAATCTGTGAAAATTGGCTATAGACCTGAGTTCAATTCCAGGCAGGGCGAAACCTTGGGCAAGTTTCCTTACTCCACACACCTAATAATAATCCCTCCAAAACAAAAAACAATAATAAAATGATCATTTTCAATCTACGACTGTTTGTGGGACATTGCTGTGTGCAATTGGCTGCCGCGTTCGCCCACAAATATACAGTCAATTCACTTTACAGTATATTCTGTGAAGCGCTTTGAGACGTCTAAAAGACGTGAAAAGCGCTATACCAAATGCAAGGATTATTATTTTATTATTATTATAAATCTGCGATCATTGTACTTTGTTCTGTCTGTACGTTTCCGCAGAGTGAGACTCAGAAGGTAAAATCTTTCCCATTTCTCAACAGGTATGCGATTGGGGTTGCCTACAAGTCAGCCCCAAAACACGAGTGGATTGGGAAGAATACCTTCTCTTGGGTGTTTTGCCGGTGTAATAATAGTTGGGTGGCAAGGCACAACAGCAAGGAGATCCCAGTGGAGCCCTCGCCACACCTCAGGCGGCTGGGCATTTTGCTGGACTACGATAATGGATCTTTAGCCTTCTACGATGCGGTTAACTCTCAGCACCTGTACACCTTTGACATTACATTTGTTCAACCAGTGTGCCCCACATTCACTGTATGGAATAAAGCTCTCACCGTTTTAACAGGTTTGCCAATACCAGATCATCTGGACTCCACAGAGCATAATGAGTAAGGAAGGAATGAGACTAGGGCTCCTATCTTAATGTGAGAGCACATCACATAGTTGACTGGAACTGCCTTACTCAATCAGCTTTCATCTCATTATCCTATCTGAGCTGGAACTAAAACACATATGTGCTTTTCTCCCCACCCAAGTTAACGTGCAAACAATGGCTTTAACGTTCCTTTACTTTGTACTTAATCTCGTATAGTGAAATTTATAAATTATTTATATAAAAATAATTTTTGGGGGACTAAAATTGTAGAACTCTCTTGCTATTGCACATTTGTTGTTTATGTTGTATTTATGCATTGGTGATTTGTTGGGAACTTTGTGATAGAAAACATTTTTAAAAAATGAGAAATGTGGAGGGAAATGATAGAATTGGCAACAGGATTGTTAAACGATTTTTATATTGCATAACAACTGGTATTAGAGAGCTACCTGGTACATTGGTATATCATTCTCCTTAAACTGGGATGTGCACCCAATCCGAACTGAGTTGAGAGAATTCCCATGTGGATTCTGTCTGTTTGGCACGAAGGAGACGCCATCCCATCCTTTCAAAATACAGAAACTGCAATCAAATCTTGTACATACATAGCATAGTGTGTGCATGTGTATATGGAGGGTGGAATGAAACTTATTATCTACTGAGTTATAAGACTGCTCTCTCTTCTGCAAGATCTGGAGTTACAGATCCAGTATAGATATAGGTTGAAAGCCTCTTGTCTTTAATAGTTGGTATGGGCCATCCCAGGAAATAAGCGTAGGCATTCTTGATGTTAATGCACAAATACTTCAATTTAGCAGTAGTTGACACAAGCATATTAGCTTTCAGGCAATAGGGACAACCAATGTGAGAAATGGAAATGTTATACAAGTGCAGTTGAGGGAGAGGTCACATTACTAAGGTTTTGTAGTGGCTGTGTAGATTTTAAGGTAATGTATGAGGAACTTTACATTAAATCTGAACCATGTAGACTTATCCTGGTCCGATGCTGTCACTGAGAACAAAGTAGACAGATAAAATGTTGCACTGTGTTGGATCACGAGTTCAGGCACAACATGCTTTTAAACGCTAAAAGATATAGGCATGAAATGAATAAGATCCCTCTTTAAGAAATAATACTTTCATCCATGTCATATCACTTTATTGAAAGGTTGTACAAAAACACTCCAAAACTGTAACTTGATACAGTTGACATGCAATGGATAATCTTCATTACTACCATACCTTTACCACTTATAACAGCAGTTTGCTGAATGCTATAGCTTGCAAACAAAGAGTTAACAATGATATGATTTAAAGGGAAGTTGTCTCTTTGAGGTCGTGATCAGTTTTAAAATCATGTTTTCATATGTATTTCTACCTTTAGAAATTTACATGTCATGTATTTTGCTTTTCATTTAGCAGTTTTTTTTTCAAACCAGCCCTTTAGAACTAGAATTGAAACACTGCATTAAGTACTGTAGTAATCATAACAGAATTGAAATATTGCTCCTCTGTTCTGGCCAGTCTATTTCAATATTAACAGCTGAGAAACCTGTGACCATTCCTGTTCAGCAAGGCTGTCTAACATGGGCATGAGCCTAGGTGTAGCACAAAGGTACTAAATTCAAGGATTTGAGGACAACTGTGTGAAGAACTGGGATGACACACAGTTTCTTGTGAAGTTCTTCGTGGCAGAGATGCATTATTGTCAGTTGCACAATAAGAAATCTTTGAAACCTGCATGTTTGGTGTTGAATAGCGGTTGCAAGTTTTCAAACAACATTCGCAAGATCTATTCTTTGATGGAAGAGAACAGAAGAGCAGGTCGGACGGGAAAAAATAAACAGTCGCCTGGAGTCCAAAACTGGAATGCTTTGCAAACTGCTGTTAAAATTACAAAAGAAAAGACAAAAAGTATCTGGTTACAACTCCTGCATGAAACTGAAGAGGTACAGCACCTGGGATCTAATATGGGTGCACAAGGACACTCTGTGCCATGCTCAGATGTAAATACCAGCTGCAGAAACCGTCTACAGCCCAATGGGAAATACAATCCAACAACAAGCTGCACAACAATGACTCCCATTGAACTATGGCAGTACTTTTAAATGCATATTATCTTCGGATTACACAAATCGGATCCCTAATGGAAAACAGCCAGTTAACTACATAGCAGGAGCCTCTGATTAGAGTTGGGACTCTAAAATTAACCTTTCAGTACGAGCCAGTGGATCCTTCCTGTGGACTCTTAAATATCAGTGTGTTCAGTAACTAAATCCATTTTGGGGCATTTGCAGATTGCTCAGCAACTTCAAGCCAGCTCCTCTTCATCTCAATTTATCAGCACGAACACAGTGGCTGAAATAACAATTGTGCGTGTTGATATCGACAGCCCACTATTATTGATTTTTCTGTTCCTATTTGTTTTGGATTAATCAATCTGTTTCTTTTTTTATTTTGCAGTGCTGAATTCAATGGCTGATTCAGGAATAAAGAAACATTCACTTCAAACAAAATGTTGTTCTGTGCTGTAACCTGATTATACTTTGCTTATGTTTTATTAAACTAAGCACAATAACATTAGAGGCCATTAAGTGACTATGTTAAGGTGACAGGATATCATTGAAAAGTATCAGTGAGTAACATTTCCCTCACAAATCATTTTTATGTCCATCTAAAGATTAGCTATGGAGATCTTGTTTGGGGGCTACAGGGCCAATATATTTATCAGGGTACTGTAGTAGGAGTGAAATACCTGTCAGAAAGCAAAATACATCCACACTAATGTAAGGAAAGACTGTTGCACAAAATGTACATGTGAAGCTTACATAGCACACAGGCTGTGTCAACTGCAGTTGTCATTGTACAAAGTGCCTCGGGTAAATTAATGTTTGTAATTTGGGGGGAAATTTAACAATCTCTCTTAACACATGTAATCTAATGTGAAACTTCACAAGTTTACGCCTGCTTTTTGTCAGGCCTTCGGGCAATCCAAGGTATACTGAGCTGAGTTTTCCTGCCTGCTGTTTGATAATTCTGGTTGTCTTTCTCTATGATTTAAGATGCTGTTGCAAGACTGTTCAATTAAATTGGGTGCTCAGCCATGCAGTGCAATGTTTTAGTGCCCCCGAATAACCATTTACTTGGATGTTAAATGCCAGCTTCGGGGTTGTGGGAGGGGGATGGCCTGGATCGTTGACCTTTACATTTTGTGGAAGAAACCACATATCAAATGTAAATAGGCTGCTCCTTGCCTTGCACCAGCTCTGCCCTTGCTTCAGATCACTCCAGCAGAAGGACCAGAATACTCCAAAGAGAATAACCCTCATTGCGATTATTTTAAAATATTTAATTAAAAAAGTTATAATGGGGATATAAGGACAAGTATTTGTCATTCAACATGCTGATCTTATCTTAGAATCCTATTCTATCAAAAAAAGATCACTGATTACTATTAAATATTTAATTACTCATAAGGTATATTATTACAAGTGTGAGGATGTTTTAAAACTTGTCAGGGGATTGTTTAAAATGGCACTCATACAATTATAGAAAGGTTATAGCGCAGAGGAAGTAGGCTGTTCAGTCCATACACTGGAGTTATCTACTTCAATTCTCTCCTACTACTAAGGTGTTTTGCTCATTTTCCCTTCATCATACATGTCTGGCTTGTGATCAGTGGCAGATATTTTGCCTGGCAAATACAGGGAACTCCGGTGAGCTCTTTGAGGCCAGACAAGAAATATCCCATAGTGTGGTTACATAATGTAATACCCATAATAATAATAATAATCCTTCAATTTGGTACAGGGCCTCATCACTTTGGAAGGATGTCTCAAAGCGTATCTCAGGAATTGTTGTGAAATGGAGTCACTGTGTATTTGTAGAAGGCCATTTTATATTAAATACAAGGATTATCATTAGGAGAATGAGATTAATTAGATTCATTCTTTTCAAAAGGGAGACTAAATAGTCATTGGCAATAGGGGAATGATATTCCAAAATATACAAATTATGGAATGAAATTAATATGGCAAATAAATGTTTATTACACACATTTCTTTCCACATTTTTTTAAACTATAGAATGTTTCAATCCTACGACAGTAAACTTGTTTTTCGCAAAATTAATTTACACTTCAAAAATAGGACTTTTCAGATTTTATAATCATTCTGTCTGTACCAAGATGTACAGATGAAGAAATTAAGGTTTAGTTAAGACAAAGTTTCACACTTTACTCAACAAAGTGATAACTTTCAGTTTGTTGGGAGAATTTCAGGCAATAAATGGTTTGTGAACTGATTAAATGCTAAGCTTCACTGGAGCGATTTATTGCCAGCATCAATCCTGGCAAATGGAACTTCTAAAGATCCAGGCAATGGGTACAATAACATGGAGCATGTGATACAATTATTGTGTTGTTATTAGGTAATGACAAACAAGACATAAATCAATTTAACAGTATATCAAAATGATATGAGCAGAGGACAATTACACTGTTAAATCGTAACAATAATCCTCGAATTTGATACAGCAGCAGATATTAAATGCTCTGCTGCTGAATTTACACTGTGTGCCCATCAGTGTTGAGACTCTTGCCATGGTGGGCTGAGTGAGCCAATTCCTTTTCTGCTGTCACTGGCCTCTGCTACCACAACGGGCGGCTGAATAGCCCACCATGACTGTTTATCTCTCTGCTTGGGTATGGAATGTGTGACTTCAAGTACAATTCCCTGGTATTTTAAGCACCCTGGTAAATGGTTTATTGGGGACGATAAACAATTGTATCTCGAAGCACCAAACACCCTGTTTTTCATATCCTGTGCGTGTATCTCTTAAATTCCTGGGATTGCAATGCAGATTTTATCAGTATTCTGAAAATGAATGTTGCCCAGTTTAAAACTGCACAGTTAAGCAAATCAAGTGAACGTAAATTGTTATTTTACAGCCTAAAACTAGGTAGATTTTCAAGCCTTCCAATGAGCAATAGAGGTGATAAAGAGAGCAAAGCATTTTTGGAGGGTCAGCCACGTGTCTGACACATGCGGAAACCCATCACCATGCTTAACAGTATCCAAACCAAGCTGAGAATTCAAGATCCTCATCCTCACCTACAAGTGCATTCACACCTTGCTCCCTCCTACTTCTCCGACCTACTATCCCCCTACTTACCTGCCCGTACACTCCATTCCTCTGGCTCCGGTCTGCTCCACACCCCCCACCCTAACCGCCCTACCATCGGTGGCCGGGCCTTCAGCCTCTCAGCCCCTAGGCTCTGGAACTCCATCCCCCAGTGCCTTCGCCTTGATTCCTCCCTTTCCTCCTTCAAGGCTGGTCTCAAGATCTTTCTCTTCAACCGTGCCTTCACCTCCCTCTCGACTCTCTAACCCCTCCTCGCTCCCTCCCTTCCCTCCCCTCACCCTGACCATTTCCCCCCTGCTCGGTGTTAAACCCAGATTGCGATGTGCGATTGTTCTTAAAGACCTGAAAACTCAACACGGAGTCAGTGTGGTATACATTCAAAAAGCTTTATTTCATATGTATATGAGGTGCAAAGCGGTAGCAACAACTCTCCCAAGGTACTGCTCCCCACACTGCACACCAGAGAAAAACAACATCTGACCTTTATACATGTTCCATTTTCCCATAATTGGATGTCTGTTTCTTTCATAAAAAGAGATATGGGTCCCGGGTTCCTTAGCACAATAACATATACATTGATAGTTGCGAAACCAAAACAAAGCTGAGCTTACACCAAATGCGAAAACATGTTTTGTCTCATTGCCTTTGCTTATTCTGTAACTTTTGCGATTGCCCAAAGATGTTACATTCCCACACTTTCCACACTCCTCCCTTTTATCCCTGGGATAACTCACCATCCCTCAGTAACAGGGCACCAGGTAGGCTCCCTAGGATGAACTATCGATTTCCAAGAAGGAATCCGTGAAAGTAGCATGAAAACTTTCCATCTCATAACTTAGCTCATCACATGAGGGGGTGGGAGTGAGGTGGTAGTTAACTCGGACTGAATGCATAGCCATCATTGATTTCGCAGTCATTCGACAACACTGGGTGCAACATATGACAAAAACAAAGACTAACAAAATAACTAAACTTATTTCTAACAAAATTCTGACTATACTTCCTAACCAACCCACTCCCATATTCTGCAACCAATTACTCAGCTAATCCAATAGTCCTCTGCCCGAATGAATAATGATATTACCCGCATCCTGCCCCGTTAGTTAATCTCTTTGGTGATATTTGAAATTTTCCCAGAAAATTCATCTATCGTTATACAACATTCAGGTCCAATAACCTTACACACTCCTTCCGTCGCAGCCAAGACATAGTCAAGGGCCATGCGGTTCTGTAGTGTGTAAAGGCGAATCTCGGACATTTCCTTTCCAATAAGGGCCAACGCTGCGGATGTTTCGGCGGCCAAGGAAGAGACAGCCTGAGACAGGATAGCAATCTGATCAAGGGTACACATCACCCCGTAAAAGGGAAGAAGGGCCCCAAGAAAGCGATTCCACTGGGTCTGGGCATGCGTATGAAAGGGATCAGCCCTGCGAGAGCGATGGATATGGCGGGGAAGAGACGGATTGGAAATGTTCAACACCTGTGGGCCTGGGGCAGATGGCAGGGTTTCAGTCAAACGGATCATGGGAAAATAATGAGCAAGGGCACATCTTCCTTTAAAGTTTGCCGGAAGGTAAGCATAAAGAGTAGAATTGCAAATCCAATAAAAATTCTTATGAATCGGGGATAGGGCGCAACGCTGAGTAATTGAATACATCAGCATCCGGTGAACCCGTAAAGGTAGAGCGACCCGACAATTCCCGAAACTGGATGATGGAACATCCACCGCCATGTACGGGTAGGTGGTATTGCAGAAATGAGAACCCAAAAACCCAAGTGACTCAGTCCCAGTAAGAGATTCAACGCAGAATGCGAATCCTGTATAGACTGTAGTGGCCACACCAATTTTAGGTGGCTTTCCGCAGTCACGATTACACATTCGCGGTCTCCAGGTTTGGTGACCACACTGCAATTCTTGCAACTGAGGATTTAAAGGAGGGCAAGTAAGTTTGCGTTATTTGTAGGTAGAAAAGTGAACAAATTTCACATTCCGACAACGGGAACGCCATCATGGGATACCCCATGTGGACCGACGGAGGGGATAACCCACACACATGATGCTGGGTTGCAGTTTTGTGCTGGCTCACAGTCAGGAGCATCTGAATGTAAACATTGTGCAACTGAAAAGGAGGGAAAGTAATTTTAGGCAGAGAATTACCAAAAATTCCTCTGCGTAGGGGAACAACTGGATTTTTAGAAGAGCTAAGAGCTGGGCGTCAACTCGGTGGTAGCTCGGTATAAATCCTAGTTGCCGTCTCATTGAAATCTAGACTCATATACACAAATTGAGAAGCTTTGGGGAATCGCGAAAGCATATTCCAAAATGAACAAGAATTATTAAACTTACATGCATATAAACC